TTGGAGCCGGGCCTCACCAGCCCATAATATTCCCCAGTCTCCTAAGGCTGTTCCAGCCCATAATACTCTCCCTGTCTCCTAAGGCCTCTGCATCCCATAATACTGCCAGACGCCTGACCTGTGGGCCAAACCCCAGCCCGTTCCACATATCGAGGCTGTGTCAGCGCCGCCGGTCTCCCTCCCTGTCCCTCCTCCCTTCCTCGGTCGGCGCTTTCCCTCCCAGGCTGTCTCCCGCCCTCCTGCCCTGGGCCCCTCTCCTGGCCCCACCCTGTGCCTGCCTGGCCCTCCAGCCTCCTCACTCGCCCTTTCCCCAAATCCTGGGTCTTCGTCCTATCCCCCTCCTCTTCCTTTCATGCGCTTCTCCACCTACTCCTTAGTTTGTGGGATGGACATCAGCCTCATGGGGAGAGAGTGCCCCCAGAGGGCAATGGACCAGTCACTGCCCCTGAAGACTGCCTGCTTGACCCAGCACCATGGAAACGTGCCCAGCCTGCCTCCTCTCCAGTTCCCTTGGCCCTAGCTCTGATTGCTGGCAGGGCTCAGTCTGGTGACGATTCACCTGGAACCCTTGCTGCTTCCAGAAGCAAGGGCATCACAAGCAGCATCTGAGCTCCATACTCTTATTTGAAAGACAGCTCCCATTTATGGAGCTTCTAAAATGCCTTTCAAAGGTCCTTCATCTCATTGACCCTCACCATCACCCAAAAAGCAGATATTATGAGCTCCATTGAACAGAGGCTCAGAGAGGTTAATTGGCCAAAGATACATTGCCAAGAAATGACAAAGCTGAAATCAGTATCCAGGTTTGTTTGATTCCAAGGTTCTGAGAGTCTTTGGTTTTCCCCAAACCTAGTGTGAGAAACTTCACTTTCCAGTTCTTTCAGGTCCTCTGATGAGAATTACCTCTAGCCTCTCTTTGTCTCCAGGGCCTCCTGAAAGAATAGAGAAGGAATGTCTGGTGTGAGATTTACCTTCCCTTCCCTTCCCCATTTCTTACTTGAGATCCCAGATGGCAAGCAAGATCATAAGGATTCTCCTTAAGATGGTCAAGACCAAGAATGTAGCATCTCTGCCTTCCTGTAGGATCCTTACCTCTGTCCTGGTTCTCCTGACTTTGTTGTATTGCCAGACCATTGATTGATACTCTCCCCCAACTACAATCACCATGCGAAGGGATCATCCTGTAGAGGAGGTTTTGAGAACCAAGAGATGGTCTCCTTCTCCGTTGAGTTGATGAACAATTAACAGTGCTGATGTATGCCAGACCAGATGGCTTATACCTATAATATCAGCAGCTCCAGAGGCTGAGACAGGAACATCGCAAGTTCAAAGCCAGTCTCAGCAATTTAGTGAGATTAAGCAACTTAGAGAGACACTGTCTCAAAATAAGAATAAAAAGGGACTGGAGATGTTGCTCGGTAGTTAAGTGCCTCTGGGTTCAATCTCCAGTCCCCCCCCCAAAAAAAATTAAAAAGTGCTGCTTTTTTTAATCCCAGGCCTGGGGAGGGAGTCATACCCACTGCATTAAGTCTAAACTGTCCTGACTGTGTGTGTCATGGACAGGCTATTCCTTCCCGGGTCCTTGATATGGTGTGTTTAGGACCTAACACAATTGATACCGTGGGTGAGCCTGGTTCTTAGACCTTACCCAGTTGCACTGTGTCCTGGGGTACTGAGGATTGTGTAAAGGGAAGGGCAGTGTGCACAGGGAACATGGAGGAAGATCAGGGCAAAGATGACACCACAGATTCGAGGTGAAAAAAACAATTGAGAGAGATGCCTCTCTTCACCTCTTTATCAGGTGAAGAGAGGCAAGGATACCAAGGATGCATGTAATAGAGCCAGGGTTGGAGAGGAAAGAGGAACAGGATGTGCTGCAAGGAGTAGAAGTTTAGGAGCCAAATAGAAAGTCGGCCATTTCCAGATTGTGTAACCTTAAGACTTCAAATTCTCCCCAGTGTTTTGTTGTTTCATCTGTACAGTAGGGATAGTCATCATCCTGACAATGGAATGCATTTCAATTCATCGTACACAAATAGAGTGCAACATTTCAATTCTCTGGTTGCACACGGTATAGAGACGCACCATTAATGCAATCATACATGTACCTAGGATAATAATGTCCATCTCATTCCACCATCTTTCCTATCCTCATAACCTCTCCCCACCCTTCCCTTTGCCCAATCCAAAGTTCCTTCACTCCTCCTATCCCCGTATTATAGATCAGCATCCATCAATCAGATAAAACATTCAGCCTTTAATTTTCTGATTGGCTTACTTCGCTTAGCATAATATAAAATTTTGGAGACAAGGTCTCACGATGTCATTATTTTGCTCAGGCTGGCTCCAAACTCCTGGGATCAAGTGATCCTCCTCCTGCCTCAGCCTCTGAAGCCACTGGGATTACAGGCATGTGCCACAGCACCTGGCTGGCCATGAGAATATTTTAAAAACCTGTAACACTCTTGCTTTTTCTCTTCCTCCTCTTTGGATTTTTCTAGACGTTAAATGGGACAGCCCCAAAGTATGGGTGTGTGCTCTAGATTTCCCACATCTTGCCTTCATCTTATTACTTACAAAATAATTGGGAATCCTGTGAAAGTGCCAGTGGCTACAAGTTTTTTGGTTTTGTTTTGTTTCCCTTTGGTATCAGGGATTGAACCAGGGGTGCTTAAACACTGAGCCACATCCCTAGCCTTTTTTATTTTTTATTTTGAGAAGGATCTTGCTAAGTTGCTGAGGCTGGCCGTGAATTGGGGATTCTTCTACTTCTCAACCTCCTGAGTTGCTGGTATTACAGGCAAGTGCCACCATGTCTAGCTACAAGTTTTCTTAAACTTCCATAGCCTGTTAATGTGTTAGGTTCTGTTCATTCCCCTCTGTCTGCAATAGCTCCTTAATCTATTCTTCTGTGTTCTCATGGTAGAAACCCTTTGGATGGGCCTTTAACAGTCCGCCAGGACTTTAACACCAGACATGTCACACTGCAAACAACCCATTTCCATCTGGAAGTGATAGCCTGGTGAGAATTCTTCCACAAACCATAACCACACTTCTTCCCAACTATTGTAGTAGGTCCCAAATCGCTCTTTTCCTTGGATTCTCCTTAACTTCATTTCCCTATACGCTATCTTACACAATATGTCCATGTGAGCCAAACCTGAGAAACTTCAGGGTTCTAAATAAATTGCCAACACTTTGCCCTGTATTCCTGCATCTTCTAACTTGCATTATAGTTATTGTTCTGTATTCCCCACAAAGTAGTAAAATACTTCACAACAAGAGCTGACTGTTCATCTAGTCAACAAATATTTATTGAGCACTTCTCCTGTGCCAGGCCCTATTTTAGATGTTAGTGAATATATAAGAGAACCAAAACCTGCCCCCATGGAGCTTACATTCTATCTAGGAAGGAGACATCCAATAAACATAAAAATTAGGAAAAATAAATAAGCAGATTATAATGTGAGTTTTAATTACTTTAGAATTCACTCATGTACCTGCATATAAAAGTACTCAAGTATTTTTAAAATTTTTATTTGTTCATTCATTTAGTTGTGTATTACAAGGAACCAAACTCAGGGCCTTGTGAATGTTAAGTATGCCCTCTTCCCTTTCAAATTATTATTATTGTTTTTTGGGGGAGGGTATCAGGGATAGAGCCCAGGGGCACTTAACCACAGAGCCACAACCCACCTTTTTAAAAAATATTTTATTTAGAGACAGGGTCTCACTAAGTTGCTTAGGGCCTCACTAAGTTGCTGAGGTTGGCTTTGAACTTGTGATCCTCCTGCCTCAGCCTCCTAGCCGCTGGAATTACAGGTGTGCACCACTGCACCTCCCCACTTCATGTTATTTTTTTTAATTGTGTTCAGTTCAGTTTGTGTTAAAGTTCTCAGAGTTGGACTAAGAGATTTGGTGAGGCTTGTGCCTTCAGATCAGGACAGGCACAAACAGGTCTGGAATTCTGAAGGTGAAGTGAAATGGGGCGGAAGCTAACAAACAAGTCTTAAGAGCAACTGGGTAAGGAGCTGGTGCTGGGCTCTAACCTCTACCCAGATGAAGGCTGGGACTTCAAGGCTATCTTGAGAAATCTGGGTCAGTTACCTGGTTTGGCCACCAGAGGTCATTTTACTCCTGTAAATCACCAACTAGAGAGCTCACATAAAGACACACAAAAGACTGACTCTGAACTCGAAACACAGATACAGGAGAATCCTAACACTGTCTCACACACACTCTCCCCCCCACCGAGCGCGCGCGCACACACATATACAGAGAGAGAGGGAGAGAAAAATACAGAACCGAGACATAGGGATGGAAATGCATACTGGACACACAGAGCAACAACTCTTAATGCCAAGGTCTAAAGATGTCAGGGTGCTAACTCTGCAGCCCTCCCAGCCCCCTACTGGGATCAAGACGGAAGGAAACCATTTAGCTTGCTAAGAACAGACGGGCTATTCCTGTCCTCTCATCTCACTCTTACTTCCCTGTATACTCTTCTCTCCTGGCTATGGCACAGTTCCTTTCTAACCACTAGAGACGTCCCACCCTCTCCTCCAGAGTGTGTGTGTGTGTCTGGTTCCACCCCTGACCCCCCAAGGCTGCTGCCCTGATAAGCCCAAGGTGGTATTCCATTTGGTGTACAAACTCCTGCCTGCCTCCAGGAAGCCCCAAGCCTTAAGCACTATTATTAGCAATTAATTTGTTGAGCACCACACTCCTTACAGTCATAAAAACAAAACAAAACAAACAAACAAAAAACTATTATATAATGCCCTGGGAAGATGGTAATGTGAACTCTAATACCTTAGTACAAGTATGGTTCTCAAAGTGTGATCCAGGGACCAGTTCTTTGAGGAAGTCCATGAAGTCAAAATTATCTTCATAATACTACTAAGATATTATTTATGTTTTTCACTCTCTTCACCAGTATACAATGTAGTTTTCCAGAGGCTTCAAGAAATGTGATGACATTACCACTCTCACGGCTAATGGATTGTGTGCTTGTGTATTTCTGTTTTAAAACTTATTAGCTTTCATTCCTATTACAGTAAATATTAAAACAACAAAGAATAAGCAAAAGCTCTTGGGGTCCTCAATTTCTATGAGTGTAAAGGGATCTGAGACCAAGAAGTTTGAGAACCAATGCTTTAATACAAAGACTGTTCTCCTTTCTTTGGACAAAGCAGGAAGACAGAGATGATATTAAGGACCTAGAAAAGAGGAGGCCCTAAAAACGATGGCAGGAGAAACGATGACCTAGATAAGGGACAAAAACTAGGATTTGGGGGAGGGGGGCAGTGTGTATCACAATTTAATTCACAGTTTTGCCCTGCCCCTACCACCCCATGTTGGGTGTCCTAGCCTAAACCATTAGAAATCAATAATAAGGAACCCAGTTCTCTCCATATCAAATAAACACTTGTACGCTTCCTGCTAAGTAGGGGGGGGCAGGTGAAAGTGAAAATGGTGGTGTCCATGGCCCTGAGATCAGCACAGAACTCAACAGATGGCACCAACTTCTCAGTAGCTTGATCTACCAAGGTTTGGGGCTCTTCAGCTCTTGGCCCTGTGGTCCTGTGGCAAAATCCAGGGTATCCACTTTCCTTTCCATCTGTCAGCTCTTAGCTGTGGTCAGGTTCATTGCATCACTTCCCACTGATTGGAGAAAAGGTCCTTTGCCTACTACCACCAACTTAAAGAAGCCATAGCTAGTAACAATCTTTCTTTCCTGTGATCTTGTTTCCACACTTTGTTCTCATCTGCATTCAAGAACTGGAGTTCCATTCTGAAATCCAAGCGCTCAGTGCACCTCCCTCATGGTCATGGATCCAGAAGCCTATGAGAGAGGTACCAGACTGCACTATTGCGCGATATGCGTTCAGAGGGTGGAATCCTGAGGACACTCGGTGAAGGGCATTCTGGGTTTAGGTGGCTGGAGTAGCTCCTGACTGGTGGCATCCACTCCAGTGGTGTGGATGGCCTCTGAGGACCTTTCTGCACTCGCTCCCCTATCACCATTGGTGGCCAAGGTCCGGACCTGGAGCGGAGTACCTAGGCCACGCAGGGTGTTACGGAAACCCTCGGCGCTGAAGTAGTACACCAGCGGGTCCAGCACGCAATTGGCGCCGGCCAGCAGCACCATTACCATCAACACCCCGCGCACTTGATCGCGGGCCTCCTGGCTGGCCACCAGCAGGTTGCCCCGCAGCAGCCCATAGACAGCCAGAGTGGAGTTGTAGGGCACGAAGCACAGCAGGAAGATGACGAGGTTGGCCAGCAGAAGGCGCACGGTTTTCCGCCTCCTTTGGCTCTGCGTGGCGTCCGGCCGCGCTAGAGTCCAAAAGACCCGCCCAGATGAATAGAGGACGGCTGCCAGGGGCAACAGAAAGCCCAGGGCCTCTGCCAGCAGCACAAGGGGAAGCAGCCGGCCCTTCCATAGCTCGTCGCTGAAGCTTTCGAAGCACAGGCGCACCTCGATGCCCCGGTAGCTGCAAGGCGAGGGCCTGTGCACGCGGGCGGCGGGCACAGCAAACACCAAGATAAGTGCCCAAACACCCAGACAGAGCCGCCTCGCCACGCGGGACCGCCGCATATGACGTAGACGCAGGGGGTGCACGATGGCGGCATAGCGGTCCAAGTTGATGAGCATCAAGAAGATGCAGCTGCCATACATGTTCATCTGGAAGATTGCGCCCGACGTCTGGCACAGGAGGTCGGGGAAGGGCCAGTAGTGCAGTGCGTAGTAGGAGATGCGCACGGGCAGTGAGAGGGTGAAAAGCAAGTCGCTGGCTGCCAGATTGCACATGTACACACTCACCACCGAGTGTATGCGCAGAACGCGCAAGAAGATCCAGAGGGCCAGCGCATTAAGGGGGAGCCCGGCCGCCAGCACCAAGCTGTAGACCACCATGTGCAGGCGATGGGTAGCCCTATAGTCAGGGCACGGAGGAATAGAGCTGTTGGTAGAAGAGGCGTTGGCAGAGCAGTTGGCCAACAAAGAGGAGTTGGTCAACATCGTGAAAAAGTGAGAGGGGGAGCTAGGCTGGATACATCATGAGACACATCAAGATCCAGGCATCCCTTTTACCTCCAGGGTGGCAGCCTGGAGGTTGTACAGGGACCTGGAGGCTATGCAGAGACCGTCCAAAAGCAAGGAGAAGCAGGTCATGGAAATATGTGCTATGGCTGCAGGGTCCGATGGCTATAAAGGATTGGAAGCTTTTAATCACAGCCTCATCAGCAATGGAGACCTGGAATGGAGAGGCAAATCAAAAGTCAAAGTTATGCAGGGACAGGGCAGCAGACACAAATGTTTAGCTATTTATACTGGCTGGCCTCAAGACTTTTCTCAGCCTCATCTTGCACCTCTTTGCACCCAGTCCAAAATAGCATCTATACCAGGACTGTACTGTACAGTATTAAATGCCCTCCTTCTGGAGTCAGGGACTCCACAGACTGTCTGGTTTGTTTTGTTGTTCTTTGTGTGGTGCTGGGGATTCAACCCAGGTAGGCAAGTGCTCTACTTTGAGCTACATCCCTAGCCCTAGACTGTTTAGGTTTAAATCCTGGCTTTGCCACCTTGTGACCTCAGAAAAGTTAACCTCTCTAAACTTCATCTTATTTAATCTTGAATGGGGGTGGCACAGCATGTTAAAAGTGATCTTTACTAGACAGGTGTGGAGGCACAGGCCTGTAATCCCAGAGACTCCAGAGGCCAAGGCAGGACCATCAAAAGTTCAAGACCAGCCTTAGAAATTTATCAAGGCCCTAAACAACTTAGGGAGACCCTGTCTCAAAATAAAAACAAAAAGGCCTGGGGATTTAGCCCAGTGGCAAATCAAATCTGGTTTCAATTCCCAGTATTAAAAAAAAAAAAAAAAAAAAAAAAAGCTCATGAAGGCTTTAATTCATGAAGTTGTTTAGAGATTAAATAAAATCATGTATATAAAATGCTTAGGTTGCTGTTGTCTTAAAAGAACTCTCCCTACCTCAAATGCTTACTAAGTCTTTAAAAGATTCCAGGCATGTTCAGGGCAGTGAGCAAAACATAGGCCTTATCCCCCTCCCCCACCTACTTTACATTCCACTGGAGGGAGGCAGACAACAAAGAAGTCTACTTAAATAGGTTCATCATGTGGGAAAAATAGTATGAAGCACCTCTCCAGGCCAGGTGCTAAGCTGGCTCCCCATTATCTAAAGAATAAAGTTCAGACTCCCAAGTCCTGTACAAAATCCCAGCCTCACTCATCACATCCACCCTTCTGATATCTGATGTCAGAGCAATATGGGTTCATCCTGATTGACTTCCCTAATGCTGTTTCTTCATCTGTAAAATGGAAATAGGAATGTATTGGTACCTTATAGGCCAATTGCCCAGCTGCTTTGGGCAGAGGCATGTTAAGAGTACTTTGGGCTTTTTCTGGGTGTTCCCCCTTGAGGGTCTACCTAAAGAGCTTCCAAGAGGAAGTTAGCTCTGTGATAGGGAACACAGTGGTTTGATAGTGAAGACACATAAGGGACCCAGAGAGGGTGGAGGTAAGGAGTAGTACTGTTTCAGCTGCCATTAAAGAGCAGGCTGCAGCAGCTTCAGTCCTCAGGCAAAGTTGGCTGATCAAGGACGCAGCCAAGAGGTAGACAAGCCAAATAATAGGATGTGGTCTGAGTGTCCCAACTTCCTCAACTCCCTAAGGCCAATTAGTTTTTGTTTGTTTGTTTGTTTGTTTTTTGAGACAGAATCTCACTTTCCAGACTGGCCTCAAGTTAGTGATCCTCTTGCCTCAACCTCCTGAATAACTGGAACTACAGAGTATTCGAGGGAATATGCCAGTAGGCCCAGCTCTAAGTACTGGGCAGTGGAACCCAGGGCTTCATGCCTAACAAGCAAGCACTCTATCTTCACCTCTGAGCTGAGCGATAGGGTCTCACTAAGTTGTCGGGGCTGGTCTTGAACTTGTGATCTTGGCTCAGGTTCCAGAGTAGCTAGGCATACATCATGGCACCTAGCTCCTCAGACATTTTTTAAACTTTTTGTTTTGAGACAGGATCTTGGTAAATTATACAGATTGGCCTTAAATTTACAATCCTGCCTCCGTTTCCCAAGTAGCTGGGATTATAGCATGCACCACCACACCCGGCTTCTAACATCATTGTTAAGTGCACTATTCCATGTCATGAAGTACATTTAAAATGATACATAATCCTCACCAATAATGATTACCAGAAATAGAATTTTTTTCATCATCTCAAACAACAACTCTATAGCCATTAAGCAATACTGTCAGCCACATCTTAGGGAGAGAAGTTGTCTCAGACCTTGAGCAAGTATCCCAAGACATGAATGAAGCTGGTTCCATCCAAAAGAAGCAATTTAATTTTGCCTATTGCACTGAGGATGTGGCTCAGTGTGTATGTGGCTTAGCATGCTGAAGGTCCCCCTATAGTCCCTAGCACTACAAAACAGATAAACTCTTGCAGAAAATTAAATTGTAAACCTGAAAATACCAGATTATTTATTTTTTCTCCTACCAATCATCACCACTGGTAGTGTGAGACTAGCGAGAGATGTTGTGGAACAGTTTAAGGAAATAAACATTTCTCCTGTAAAGTGCCAATTTGACAATGAGAATACAGTTAGCCCTCCATAACCACAGGTTTCATATCCATGGATTCAACCAATTGCAAGTAATCCCAGCTACTCAGGAGACTGAGGCAGGAAGATCACAAATTTGAAGCCAGACTCAGCACCTTAACAAGACCCTGTCTTAAATTAAAAAAAAAAAAAATTAAAAGGAGTGGGGGGTTCAGTGGTAAAGTATCCTTGAGTTCAAATCCCAAGCACCACAAAAAATAAATTTAAAAAATTATACTAGGGCTGGGATGTGGCTCAAGTGGTAGCACGTTTGCCTGGCATGCGTGTGGCCCAGGTTCAATCCTCAGCACCACATACAAACAAAGATGTTGTGCCCGCTGAAAACTAAAAAATAAATGTTAAAATTCTCTCTCTCTCTCTCTCTCTCTCTCTCTCTCTCTCTCTCTCTCTCCCCCTCTCCCTCTCTCTCTCTCTCTCTCTCTTTAAAAAAAAAATTATACTAAATATATACCTTTTTCTTGATGTTATCCTCTAAACAATATAATGTAACTTGTTTACATAGCGTTTATATTGTATTAGGCATTATAAGTAATCTAGAGATGATTTAAAGTATATAAGATAATATGTCTAGATTATTTGAAAATATTATACCATTTTACTTAAGGGACTTGTGCATTCATAGGTTTGGGTATCCAAGGGGGATTCCTGAAACCAGTCTCTCAGGGATGCCAAGGGATGACTATAATACCAAATGGGACTTAAAATTCTGAAAAGCAAATAAAATCAGACTTGTTTCTGGGTAGACATCCCGACTTTCACCCATTTCATCTTATTTCACTTTCACTTTCAGACCTCTGCCTTTGTATTGTTTCCTCTCATTCTCCAATTGGCAAATTTCTCAGGACCCTGTGATCTGCCTCCCCCACAGGGCAGATGTTGTCCCTTCAGCCTTGTGCTTTCCAGGGTGGAGGGATGCACAGGTCTATTAGCTATTCCCATGTGTATAGTAATTAATTATTCTTTTTTTTTGAGAGAGAGAGAGAGAGAGATAGAGAGAATTTTAATATTTATTTTTTAGTTTTCGGCGGACACATCTTTGTTTGTATGTGGTGCTGAGGATCGAACCCGGGCCATGCGCATGCCAGGCGAGCACGCTACCACTTGAGCCACATCCCTAGCCCTGTAATTAATTATTCTAATCAGCCTCTCCCATTAGACTGTGAGCTCCTTGAGGGAGGGACTGTGGACTATGGCTTATTCATCTTTGTATCCCCAGCACCTACCTCAATAAATGTAGACTGAAAAATAATAGTAACCATATTCCAGGGTATGTTTCATACTTAATTTCTAACCCTTCCAACCATCCTTTGAGGTAGGTGTTTGTCCTCATTTTTATAGGAAAGGAAACAGAAGCCCAAGAGCTAATCACCAAGGAATGAGTTGAGGATAAAACCCAGGACTGCCCAGTTCCAAAGTCAAAGATATACTGTGTTGCTTCCAACCAGAATGGATGATTCAATAAGTGGATAGATGCTGGATAGAGCACTTAGTCTTCTATAGTTAACTATATGAAATCTGTGCTCAGGGGTAACTTATTTTACTTCCTCATTTGTCCAATTGATATACATTTTAATAACCCAATTCCTACTGGTGTTGTGGTTCAGTGTGGAGTGCTTTAGCCTGTGCAAGGACCTGGGTTCAATCCCCTGTACTGAAAAAACAAAACACCACTTCTTTCTTATTCCCAACTTCAAACATCGGTAACAAACTCATCTTTCTTTATACAAACACACATATGTGCCTCCTTATAATTTTCCATAAGTACTTAAATACTTGAGCTGGGCACAGTGGTACATGCCTGTAGTTCCAACTACTCAGGTGGCTGAGGAGGATTGCTTAAGCTAAGGAGTTCCAAGCTAGCCTGGGTAACATTGTAGCTCCCCTTCTCAGAAAATTAAAAAAATTAAAAAGTACTTAAACAGTTAAGCTGGGCACAGTGGCTCATGCCTGTAACCTCAGCAATGGGAGGAAGAGGCAGAAGAATCCCAAGTCCAAAGCCAGCCTCAGCAACTTAGTGAGGTCCTAAGCAACTTAGCAAAACCCTGTCTCTAAATAAAATATGAAAAAGGGATGTGGATGTGGCTCAGTGGTAAAGCGCCCTGAATTTAGTCCCTGTTAGCAAAAAAAGAAAAACAAAAACAAAAGAGAGAGAGAGAGAGAACTCAAACACTTAATTTGCTGCTTTGACCCCCTCAGTTGTTTTATGCACATTGGTTCACCTTGATGGTAAGGCCCTGGGGTGGGGACCACACCCTGCAGATGTTCACTTCAATCCTTGCACTTCACAGACTTGAGTGACACTTATTGGCTGCCTGGCAGGAAATCTACTCCCCACTCAACATGTTAGCCCATTCATAATCCTGTTATAACATCTCTTTGTGTCAAAATCCAATCACTGTCTGGGCATGGTGGTACACACCTGTAATATCAGCTTCTTGGGTGGCTGAGGCAGGAGGATCACAAGTTCAAGGTCAACCTTAGCAACTTAGTGATACCCTGTCTCAATAAAAAATAAAAAGGACTGGGAGTGTAGTTCAATTAAGAGCACCCCTGTTTCAATTCATTGCACTGGAGAAAAAAAAAAAGCCAGGCACCTAACCACTTCTTTTCACATTCCTATCTGGTTCCACATGTATAACCGACTTAGTATGAAACCATGTCTTTTAAAAGGACTGTTTGGAAACATCTCATATTAAGATTTCAATAATAGTTTATTCTATAATTCAATAAATCAATAAAGTTATACTTTATTGATTGATTGATTGATGCTGGGGATTGAACCAGGGCCTCTGAGTGATAGGCAAGGGCTCTACCACTGAACTACATCCACAGCCCATGCTTTATAATTTTTTTTTTTGTAGATGGACACAATACCTTTATTTTGTTTATTTAGTTTTATGTGGTGCTGAGGATCGACCCCAGTGCCTTACACATGCCAGGCGAGTACTCTACCACTGAGCCACAACTCCAGCCCCCATGCTTTATCATTCTTAACCATTACTTGAGAACCATATAGTGGCTTCTTATAATTAGGGAACACACATTAGAAACTGAACAAATGAATTATTTTCCAAGAATCCCCAGTTGTTCTGTTTAAAAAGTTGCAAAGTTACATAGACCAAAGTGGATTCCTTGAGCTACTACTCAAAGGAAAGGTTAGGAATCCTATAGTAAAGGAAATCATGAGGATTCTATTACCCTATTCCAAAGAAGAGAAGTCCCTAGTTTCTTTGTCAAAAAGCCACCACTTGCTGGGCATAATGGTGCATTCCTATAATCCCAGCAACTCAAGGAGGATGAGGCAGGAGGATCACAAGTTCCAGTCTATGTAACTTAGTGAGATCCTGTCTCAGGTCTGGGAAAGTAGCTCAGTGGCAGGGTGCTTGCTGAGCATGCAGGAGGCCCTGGTTTCCATTCCCAGTACTGGGGAGCAGTGGAGCTGGGGAAGCTACCTTTTTCTATCATTCAGAAAGGTCAAACTGAGCATTGAAAGCTGCCAGGCCCCTGCTTTGGCACAACCCTATTCCCCTGCTTCCCTGAGCCCTAAGGCTCCTATCTGTGTAGCTGTATGGGCACAGTGCCAGGCCAGATGGCAAAGATGGAAAAAACTGCCAAAGAGGAGGCAAACAGGAAATGGAAGATGGGATGTAGGCATGGGGGAGGGGCAGCACAGACCCTCTCCCCTAGTCCTGCCTTGAGGAAGAAGTCAGGTTGTTGGGGAAATGTAGGAATCAAAGAAACAGCAGCTGCCTCAGAGAGAAGGAACTCTGGGGTTTCATTTCACCAGGAAGGAGGAGGGACGTGGAGGCCTACATAAGTCCAGTAACATGGACACAAACTGATGTGGAAATATAGGCACACCATTACACACATGTTTGTTCACAGACATGGAGATGCTTTACATTCAAACAGTAAGAGATGTGCTTGATGCTGGGATTGTAGCTCCGTGGTAGAGCACTTGCCTAGCATGTGTGAGGTACTGGGTTTGATTCTCAGGACCACATATAAATAAATAAAATAAAGGTCCATCAACGTCTAAAATTTTTTTATATATAAATTAAAGAAAAAAGAGATGTGCATACAGATCCCCAGTAACATACAAATCAATGTTTACACACACAGGGTAATATACAAGCATGTGCACAGATGATGGGCCACAGCTGGAAGAGGAGACATAGCCCTTGCCTTAGGGATTATATCCTATTACACAGACAAGACTATACAATCAGGCACTTTCACAAGCATGTTTCCATGCAGACACCAACAAACAAATCTCAACTACAAGGCAGCAAGGTATAAAGAATCCACCATATACACCGAGGCTATGGGAACTGTTCTCACCACTATCCCACCCCACTATTACCACTCACACACCAGAGCATGTGCCGCCACCTGCTGCTCACGGCATCTGTCCTTCAGCTTCCTTTCTGCACCTTCAGGGTCCAGGTTTATTACCTCCTCAGGGCCTCTGGGACCCATCCCATTGCCCTCTGAGCTGGGCTGGGTGCTGCTCTTTGCTGAGATAAGCCAGAAGGCCAGGGCTATTTTCTGCCACAGGCAGGAAGTAAGAATGAGGGAGTAAGAGTGAGCAGGAGGCTAGATCATGATCATTCCCTCACTGTTCTCCACACCCTTGCCCTCAGTAGCCATGTTATTTGGCAACTGGCCAATAATGCAGAGGGGAGCTAAAGACAAAGGACTAGGTGATTTAGGACGATGATAGGGACAGGAAGGGGAACAGAAATACCTCTTCAATGTCCAACTTCTGTGTGGCACCATCTCTGTGCTGTTCCTCCTGGCCCTCCCGCGCATGCACCAAATGCCTTGTTCTCTCTTTGCCTTTTGTTTTTATTCACATCCTTCTGCCTTCTCCCCGAGGTCAAAAGTTTGAAAAGGACTCTCCTTGTCCCTTAAGATCAGCTCTGGGATAGCCCTAACCTCTTTAAACACCCAACCGGTGTTTCATACAGACACAGGAAATACCCCTTTGGTAAAAGTTCTAACCTGCTAGTTAAATTAGCTAGACCCACTTCCTTGCTTCTGTGTTCAGGCAATGTTGGGGGCGGGTGCACACTTTCCTCTCAGACAGGGTTAATTATAAACATCCCTTAGCATTGGTATATTCAGTCTCTGCAAACAGATCCAGCTGGTCTGAGCCTTCAGAAGCTTCACCCAGTCTTACATCTTTGTGAAAAGCTTGGTCCCGTGACTTCTTTGGGAGTACAAACAAATCCTGTTTATCAGTTTATCTTGGGTCTCAGGTGCAGGAATGAGGTGGGAAGGCCTGGGATATGGAGATAGTCTGAACTCCAGGATGAGTGAGGAGGCTCCTTTCTGCCTCAGAGATCACAATCTTGCCTAAAAGTGGGGTCTCTTGGGCTCAGGCTGGAGTGGTGTTGTCTTATCACTGTCTTCCCTCCTTCCCATTTCCTCAGCCAAACTTCCTACTCCAGTCTCTTCTACCACACCCCACCCCACAATAGCCTTTTTCCTCCAGCCTTTCCAACATCATCCTTAGCCATGTCTTCTCCCTTCCTGGGTGCCAGCCTTAGCAACTTAGAGAGAACTTAAGCAACTTAGAGATACTCATCTCTCCCAACATTCTTCTGGGAAAAGGCAGAAAGCAAAGGCAGCCCAAAGTTCAATTAGTTTCCCCGATATGTGGATGACATCACACCACCTGCACATCTCCCTCCACCCTGCTTTCAAGAGTGGAAGATAATAAATCCTAGCCAAAAAGTCACTGCAACAGGTTCAGCCCTCGATGACCTGTGCCCCATGTGCATCTTATTCTTACTTTAAGCCTGGCAGGTCCTCTTGTTGACAATCTCCTGGAAGTTTTCAGCCTTCCTCACCTTGCTCTTGCTATTGGTGTGTACCATTGGCTTCAGCCCTCCTTTCCCTGCCACCAGTGCTGGGGACCCAGCCCAGGGCCTCACACACGCTAAGTAAGTGCTCACCACACCCACAGCCCCTTCAACTCTCACCCTTTTAGCTATCTTTTTTTTTTTTTTTACTTTTTCCCCTTCATTTTCTTTTTTTTTAAACCAGAATATCACATTTATTTCAGAAGTAACAGCAATGTTAAAATTGACAAGTTAAATTTTTTTTTACATAATACTTTTATTTGTTCATTTTTTTTTAAATGTGGTGCTGAGGATTGAACCCAATGCCTCACATGTGCTAGGCAAGTGCTCTGCCACTGAGCCACAACCCTAGCCCTAAGTTCAGTTCTTAACTATACCAACTTTTTTCTCTTTTTTTTTCTCTTTTTTAATACTCCTGGGCATTAAATGTCTCTGGGATAAAGATTGAGGTTAGCAGAGTGGGGAGAGCTGATGACATCAGGCAGCACAGATGGAGCTGGGATCTTCAGTCTCTGGGTGGCTGGGGAGATGAGCAAGCATGCTCACACACACACACACACACACACACACACACACACACACACACATACATAAGTTTCCACTTCCCCTCAATCACTACCCTCCATCTCCCGGGAAAAAGAGTTTTGCATCCAGGTGCAGTGGCACACACCTGTGATTCCAGCGGCTTAGGAGGCTGAGTCAAGAGGATCACGAGTTCAAAGCCAGCAACTTAGAGACACCCTGTTTCAAAAATTTTAAAAATGGCTGGGGAGGGCTGAGGTTGTGGCTCAGTGGTAGAGCACTTGCCCAGCACACGTGAGGCACTGGTTTGATCCTCAGCACCACATAAAAAATAAAATAAAAGTATTGTGTCCATCTACAACTAAAAACAATGTTTAAAAAAAAAAGGCTGAGGATGTGGCTCAGTGGTAAAGCACTTCTGGATTCAATACCTGGTACAAAAAAAAAGTTTTGGAAATAACAAAATAACAATCTGATATGATCCCCTTCTTGTTATAGAGACTTCCATAAACATAGGTTACAGATAGGCAACAGCCCTCATTGATCCCAGAAATACACAGTCCCTCCACCTGGGCTTAATATCTGAAATTTCCTTCCTTTCAAGCCACATTCTGTCAGCACCTTGGGGACATTAGAACCATCTAGCCCAATCCCTTTATATAGATGAGCCCAGGGGCTGGGGATGTGGCCTCGCCTGGCATGCCTGCGTCCGCGATCGATCCTCAGTACCACATACAAATATGTTGTGTCCGCAGAAAACTAAAAAGTAAATATTAAAAAATTACCTCTCAAAAAAATAAATAAAAGGTTTTCTTAAAAAAAAAAAAAAGGATGAGCCCTTTGGGTGGAGGCCATTCTTCCTTGAGAGTGCATTGAAATATGCCTTTGGGGGATGAGGCTAGAGCTTAGTGGTAGAAAGCTTGCCTAGCATCCTTGGAGCCTTAGGTTCCATACCCAGCACCGCAAAAAAAATAAAAAAAAAATAAAAAATATATGCAAAATACACCTTGGTTACCTGAGAAGGATAACAATAAAAACACATCTGTGCCAGTGAACCTATTAGCAGAGTTTAATCAGATTAGCTCATTGTCGTAATTTAGAAGGCCTGGGGGCTGGGGATGTGGCTCAAGCGGTAGCTCACTCGCCTGGCATGCGTGCAGCCCAGGTTCAATCCTCAGCACCACATACAAAGATGTTGTGTCCACCAATAACTAAAAAATAAATATTAAAAAATTCTCTCTCTCTCTCTCAAAAAAAAAGAAAGAAAGAAAGAAGGCCTGGAAAATATTGGAAGCATTCCCCAGAGGCCCCCTCCCTTTGGAAGCTCAAGTTAAGCATGAGAGGGGAACCTCCAGGGTGAAGGGGAGGACCCTTGGGATGCCCTGGAGTGGAAGCTTGAGATCCCTTGGGATCACCTTCAGAGGGGCACTCCTGGGTGTGTCAAACATGTTGGCTGCTTCATCCAGCAGCTCTGAGAAGATCTGTTGGCTAAGGCAGCCCCTTTGGGCTTTTTACTGTATTCAAAAAGGTTTTCCAGGGCCCAAGTCCCACCCTCATCTACATCCCCACCTATGTCTCCCATTTCCACAAGAGGGGTCCTGCCCCTTGTCCCCCCTGGGCAGTTCAACCCCACCTGTCACACCCCCATACCTGTGCTTCCTTTGTCGCTCGGTGGCTGTCCCAAGCTGGCTTCCGCTGCCTGTTCTGTGCTGGGTGGGGCTGGTAGGACCTGCTCCTGGGCGGGTGGTGACACACCCACTCCAGCAGTTCTCAGCACATCCCTCCCAGCTCTTTGCACTCACCCAACCCCACAGGGCCAAGGAGAAAGAGAAGAGGAAGCATTGACCTCAGAGGCCTTTATGGACTAGAGAAGAAACCCCCCACTCCAGCAGCTAATGACACTTAATCCAGCCCTAATTTACCACCTACCTCCCCCACCCATCCCTCACACACTCAAGCAGCTTCCGGAACTCTTACTGGCACACCCACCACTGATGCCCGATGACTAACCCACTGCTGCTCACTGTTCTCACTCATACCCTCTTCTGTGTGTCTCTTCCTCTCTTAGGTCGGCCAGGTGGTTTACCCCATGCAATTCTGCTTGTACCTTCCCCTGCCCAGGGTTCTCTCTGCATACCAGTGTTCTGCAAGGCCCTCTGTCTCTTCCTCTCTCCCTTCCAGTACACACCCAGCTCCTCCAGCAATGCCAGGCTGGATGCTTCCTCTTTACTCAGGTCTATTTCCCCAGGCTTGGAGTTTCAGAAGGGCAGAAAGCTCAGATGACATACCCTCGCCTCTGTATCCTGCAGCTGAGCACAGCCCCTCAGAAAACATAAGCCTAAGTTTTCAAACGGCAAGCAGTACTCATTTGTGGTCAAATGAGCTTGGAAAACATTAGGTTAAAATTTCTTTATTATGAAGCTTTGTAGGACCTTTAACATTCTGTTGAATGATAGGTCATATAGGGCGGGGTGAAGGGTACACGAAGGTTCATAATACTGTTTTTTTGTTTTGTTTTTCTTGGAACTGGGAACTGAACCCAGCAGTGCTCTCCACTGATCCACATCCCCAGCTCTTTTCTCTCCCTCCCTCCTTCCCTCCCTCCCCTTCCTTTCTTTCTGACAGCTTCTCGTTAAGTTGCCCAGGCTGGCCTCCTGCCTCAGCCTCCCCAGTAGGAATTACAGGTGTGTGCCATCATACCCAGCACATTATACTATTTTTGTGCATTTTTGACATTTTCCATAATAAGTTTTTTTAGAAATGTTGTTAATGGGCTGGGAATGAGCTCAGTGGTAGAACACTTGCAGAGCATGTGCAAGGCCCTGGGTTCGATCCCCAGCACTGCAAGAAAAAAAAAAATACTGTTGACTACTGTGAGCCTATAGTAGAGGAAGAAATTCAACATGTGTTTCTCCTCTCTTGAAAAAGTGTAAGCTATGCCCTACTTGTCCAGAGCTGATCCCCGTGGACATGATCTCAGGCTCTGACCCTTATCCTTTAGAGGTTCAATCCTACACTCACTTCTTTTTTTTTTTTTTTAAAGACAGAGTGAGAGAGGAGAGAGAGAGAGAGAATTTTTAATATTTATTTTTTAGTTCTCGGCGGACACATCATCTTTGTTGGTATGTGGTGCTGAGGATTGAACCCGGGCCGCACGCATGCCAGGCGAGCGCGCTACCGCTTGAGCCACATCCCCAGCCCCCTACACTCACTTCTAAGATCACAGAACCCAGAGTTTCAGAAATGAAGACACACATGTCCTCATAGTACACATAATCCCTAAGACCCTGGCCATAGCCTTCTTCAATCCAATTCCCTGACTGCTTAGGTTTTCCGCTTCTCTGACAGATGGCTGCTTCCCTGAGTACCATTCCCATGAGGTTCTCTCATCTGCAGCTGGATCCATAAAATTGGGAGGTTAGAGGTTGATTCCCAAGGGCAAGGTGGCAGTGCTGAGGATGAAGATCAAACCAAAAAAGGGCACACAGGCTGAAAATAAACACTTTATATAAAGACATTCTCCTAAGGCAGATGGAACTCCCATTGTGGACCTCTCTGGGACTGCTACCCCAACCCAAGGAGAGTGTTACTAGGGACTAGGTAAGAGACCCATGAGAGGCAGCCTGTAAGCAAACTGACAGATAAAGAAAGTGGACCTGTCAGGCTGGAGTGGGGCCAGAATGGATCCCAGCTCATCCAACTTGGCCTAGAGTCAAGGTGCTGAACTCCTGGCTCCATCGAAGCACAAGGTCCTCACTTTTGGTCAGGGATAAAACAGTGTAAGTTTCATTCTGCAGACATCTCGTGCGGGATACCTACATGGGGATTGTGCATATAATCTGTGACACAGAGCCAGGTGCCAGGAATGTGTAGGTGAGGAGGTGTCAGAAGCATCACAAGAACCAGAGGTGGGCAGTAAAAGAGAAGAGGAAACTAAAAAAAAAAAAAAAAAAAAATTTTTTTTTTTTTCTGTATGATGGAGGAAATACCAAGTGGCTCAAACCCCTTCTTTTGGAAATCAGGAATCTGAAGCACAGAGGGGCACTTGACTTGTCCTAGGCTACCTAGTAAGTAAGGAAGCCAGATTAAAACTCAACATCCAATTTCTAGCCTACGTGTGATGTCCTCAGTGTCCTTCCCTCGTCTGCACCATCTTCCTCTTGAACCCTTGTGCCTGGGAGGAGGGACTTGCTTAATCCAGGACCAGAGGCCTGGAGGAAGCACCCTGAAGAGGTCTCTGACCTACAGACGCAAGTATAGAACTGGCTCCCCATAGCCCAACTTCTGGAAGAGGGGAACTCAGAATACACATACATGGTGTGGGTGACTGAAGGGCTGGCAGGAGGAGGTGGGGGCAGGTTGGGGTGCTCACCTTCCGATTCTGGTTTCTCATCAGACATTGCTGGCTTTTGAAGGAACAGTAGTTTGGATACTGGACATAGTCTGTGTCACAAACCTAAGCCAGGAGCAAGAGAGGGGAATATAAGAAGCCTAACAGAACATCAAACTCCAGGGGATACTGGCAATGGCAGAACCAGGGGCAGGGGTGTGGCTTTTGACAACCAGACCTTGCATACCTGGGATGCATCTCATTGTGCTTTCTGAGGAATAAGCCTCTGTTCCTCTGCCCTTTCCCTCTCACCCTCAGTCACAGATTGTTAAACAGCATTCAGGAGCTTGGAGAAACAGGATTGGCTGCCCTACTGGTCAGCTTGCTGGGAAACTGACTGAGGAATGGGAATGGACAGGTGGGTGGTTCAGGGTCAAGAATATGGGCTAGGGATGTAGGTCAGTGGTAGACTACTTTCTTAGTGTTTGTGAGGCCCTGTGTTCCACCCCCAGCAACAACAGCAAGAAGTTGTTCAGAACATGGGAAAGGGGACCCAAATAGTGGTCAAAATATCAGGGATCCTTCTGATGATGGTGAGGAGTGAGGAGGATGGTAGAAGAAACTGTTGTGTGACAGTGGGTCAATAACTTTCCTCTTTGGAACTTGCCTCCCATCTATAAATCCAGCGAGCAACTGAGACGATTTCTGAGACTCCTTCCAGGTCTAGAGGTTCAGGGACAATAGCTAGGCACTGCCCTGAAGCTCAGCACCAGCCTTTTCTCCCCACCACCCACCACCCCCAGTTGCTGTGGATGAAATCCAGAGCCTTGTGCATGTCAGACAAGCATTCCACCACTGAGTTATACTCCTAACCTCTACCAGCCCTTTCTTAAGATGGTCCTACTTTTCCTTGTCTGGGTTTTTCCTGTCAAACCACAGGAGGGAGTCTCAGCAACTACTGACAATCCTGCTAAGAAGTAACTTTGGGGAGAGGGGAGCCAAATTGCTGTCACTAAGCAGGGAATGCACTGGAAGTGTCAGGGAGGAGTCTGGCAGGCTAAGACAGGGATCACAGGGCCAGGCAGTATCCTCCATGTCACCTAGTCTTTTATCATAGAGATGAGTATAACTTTGACTGGATCCCCTATTTCTGTCTCTTGCCTCCCAGTCCTGTGCTTTCTCATCTGGCTGGGTTCCTACTGCTTTGCCAAAAACAATCAATCTTTTGGGGAGGTGTGCTATGGTCTGTTGGAATCAAGTAGGAGGTTCTGTGAGGAACTCAAGCCCCCTTCCATATCCTAGAGCACATACTTACAAGGAACTAGGGCAAAGGGAGGGGTGGGCTAAGCTTTGGGGTAAGGGTCTGACCTTGGTGGGGAAATCCCCATCATGGAAGCTAAGGAACTCAGTCTGGAGCCAGCTGGAGACTCGGACATCTTCACAGCCCTTTGTGGCAAGCCGGGCACACCAGAAGTCCATGCGGAGCCCACCATACAATTCCAGCCCATAAAAGCGGCCTGCTTCTGGGGACCCTACCTGTGGCACAGGAGACAGGCAAGAGGTGCACATCCCTTGCCCTCCCCTACAGGCCTCCCCACTACAACTTGCCTGGCCAGGTACCTGGGTGCCGACAGACACGCCCTGGGCTGTGAGCAAGGGGCTGAGGAAGGGTGTCTTGTGGGAAGTGTCACATTCTTGCCGCCGCAGGTTGTTCTCTGAGTAGCACTGCTCCAGCTTCAGGGAGCAGAAGGCACAGAGGGGACAGATAGATGTATGTCGCCGCCCAAGATTGTCACAGACCTGAGGGAGGAGTATGAGTGAAAAGTTGAAGCTGGGACTTGGTGGCTTGCCTTTTCCCCAACCTCAGCCCTCAAAGAGCGGCCCACAGAATATTTTTGCTTTAAGGCTCTTCTGATAGCTTCTCTGGATTTTCTCCCCATTTTCCTCTCCAAGGACCTTGCCTCAGCTATTTCTTCACCCTTTTCCTGGATGTGGATGTGGATGGTTTCTATTCTTGGGTAATTTTCATCTATGTGCAGGTGATACTCCACAAATTTTTTTGTGCTAATAGGGATTGAACCCAGCGGTGCTCTACCACTGAGCTACGTTCCCAGCCCTTTTTGAGAGGCTCTCACTAATTTGCTGAGGATGGCCTCGAACTTGTGATCTTCCTGCCTCAGCCTCCTGAGTCACTGGGATTACAGGTGTGTTCCACTGTGCCTGGCTGATACCCAAATCTTTATCACCAGCTCTGATCTCTTCCCTGAACTCAAAATTTTCATTGTCAAGTACATTGGAGAACTACCAATTGCCCCTAATTTATCTTATCTGAAAAGAACCCATAACCATCTTCCATTCTCTGCTAATGATAATGCTAATATTTGCAGAGAGGTGTCAGTGTTTTGGTACTATCTATATAGTCTCATTTGTCTTCTGAAGAACCCTGTAACAACAACAGAAGTACCAATACTATTTCTCATTCACTGATAAAGAAACTGAGGCTTTCTTTATAAGTAATTGTTAGATTCAGTACATTGTTCAAAGCCACATGTCTAACAAAAGATGAAGTTGGGACATGGATCTAGGTCCTTCTAACTCTATAACCTATGCTCTACAAAACACCTAGGTTTGAAACCTTCAGGTTTTTGGAAGATCTTCTCAAAGTGGAGTTACCCATCTCCTAGCTGGACTCTATCCTGATTGAGCTTCCTCATCACTACAGAGGGATCTTGCTAAGCAGTATCTTCAGTCAATTCCATCATCCTCCTTTCTCACCAGTGGGTACAGCTTGTAAAGGTGTATGGAATTTCTTATGTCACCTGCTTACTCTTTACAGAGGCACATAAGGGCAGCATCAAGTCCCTGACCCAAAATCTGCATTAAATTCCCCCTGCCTACAAAATTAAATACAAATGCTAAGACTGCCATTTAAGACTTTTAACATGTGTCTCCCTTTGCTCTGCTGCAAGTAAAATGCACTCTGCTGCACTCTTATCCAACTCCTTTAGAGAGTTTCTTTCATGACTCTGAACTTTCCACCCCCTCGCAATCCTGCCAGGCTGCTACTGGGTAATAAAGCCAGGGGCATTCCATCACCAAGCTATATCCCTAGTCATTTTTATTTTTTGAGACAGGGTCTCACCAAGTTGCCAAGGCTGGCCTTGAACTTGCAATGCTCCTCCTCAGCCTCTGAAGTAGCTGGGATTACAGGTGTGCACCACTGTGCTTGGCTCCCCCCTGAATTCCTGACAAATTTTTAAAAACCTCTAACTCCTTGCATCTTCCTTCTATAGGATGAATTCCCTTCCTGGGCTCTCAGCCTCTTAAAAGAAGAAACCATATGCTCATTCTGAGTCTGGAGATTTCTAGTTGCCTCAGAGCCTTTACCCATACTATACCATTTACCAGGAACCTTCCCTGGAGCTCCTTCTTTGCCTGGTTAACTTCTCTTGTCTCAGAGGAACAGATGTTAATCAGATTAACATCTGTTCCTCTGAAAAAGCACTCTCTAATCCTCCCAAACATGGAGAATCTCTCCCTCCATCCCATCTGTTCTCTGCACTTTGTTCTTATCCCTATTACTGATGTCTAGCCTGCCTGTTTCCTCATCTCTCTTTCCTACTAGATTCCAAGAAGACAAAGCATTGGATCTACTGCACCTCAATTACCTAATAGAGAGTTGGTGCTCAGTCAGTATTTGTTAAACAAGTGGATGAATGCATAATATAGTGGCTCTCAAATATCTGCTAAGTTGTATTATTTGAAAATAGTAGTGCCAGGCGTGGTGCTACATGCCTGTAATACCAGCTACTCCAAAGGCTGAGGTAGGAGGATGACAAGTTCAAGGCCAGCCTTGGCAATTAGGCTCAAAATAAAAATAAATAAACAAACAAACAAATAAATAAATAAAGGGTAGGGGAGTAGCTCAGTGTCAAAGCCCCTACTTCAAGTTCAGTCTCCAGTATTAAAGAAAAAAAGATGGCTCAATCTAGGAGCTGAGTGCAATGGCATGCACATATAGTCAGATACTCAGGAGGCTGAGATGGGAGGATCACTTGAGCTCAGGAGTTTCATACTAGCCTGAACAATTTCATCTTGAAAGAAAGGAAAACCTAAAGTATATTTCCTGGGAACAAACTTGCTGCATTTGGGTTGTTTGTGTTTTTTTTTTTTTTTTTTTTTTTTTTTTGCTGGGAATTAAACCCAGGGCTTTGTGTATGCAAGGCAAGCATTCTTATCAACTGAGCTATATCCCCAGGCCTAGACTTGCTGTATTTGGAAAATATTTTGAGACTATAATCCTTTTACAGATTCCCTGGAATAGATTCTATGAACCTTTTGGAAAGGAGAGCTGCATCAGCTAGGTGCAACTAGGTATTGAAAATGGTGAACAGGATCAAGAGATGACTCAGAGCCTAACAAGTTAGTGGGCTGGAGGATGAATTCCAGACTAGGACCAAAGCCTTCCTCCTTGAAGATGGACTGACATGCTTCCAAAGGAGGACTTGGATAGAATCTCCACTACTATGCCTCATGTTTTCCTTGCTCATTCCCCTCTCCCATGGCCTCATGTAGTGCCAGACCCAAGGATGCCTAGTGGCACGTATCCATTAAACAGCATGGCAGGCATACCGTCTTCCCGAAACCAAGGATCTCCTCCTCTAGGTACTTCCAGGCCTTGGCTGTGGGGGTCATGATGCAGGTATTCTCCACAATCGAATAGCACAATATCAGCAAGGACTCTGTGTGGGGTAGTTGCAGGAGGCTGCAAGAAGACAGTACTGACTGGTGGGGATGAGCTGGAAGGCTGGAGCAGAAAGACATATCTACTTTCTTGCCCTCCCCTGAGCATCTGTTTTTTTTTTTGTTTTTTTTTTTTACTAGGGATTGAACCCACAGGCTTTCTATCATTGAGCTACATCCCTAGCCCTTTTTATTTTTTTGAGACAGGGTTTCACTGGCCATCCTCCTGTCTCAACCTCTCGAGTTGCTGGGATTACAGGCATGAACCTCCATGCCCAGCACAGTTATCCTTTGTCATATACCTTCAGCATGCTTATCATGGGGCCTTTAGTATGGGGCCTGAGAGGCCTCCGGTCAATTGCCTCCTTTTACAAATGAGAAACTGAGGTCCAGAATGGAGGAATAACTTTCTCACTGTTAGAATGCTAATCAGGGTCAGAGACAAGACCCAAACCCAAGCCTGGTAGCTCCAGGTTCAGGGCTCATTGTCCCACATCATGTAGAGAATGAGCACCTAGGTCAGGGATTAAGCCAAGGATAGGCATAGCAGTTGCTAGTTGTGCCTGAAGCGCAGGTAGGTCTGAGTGGGTTTGCAGGTCGGAGCTGGGAAAGTGAGCTTCTTGTTTTCAAAGAAGGCAGCAGAGATGTCAGGGCCCATGAGGGAGTCACAACTTCCTGTACCTGCCAGGGTTTTGACTTCTGCTCCAGTAGACATCCTCATCATATATTTCATTCATTTCATCTATTTCTTGTGCTGATTGAGTGACCTCTTGGGTGTTCTCCATGACAGGAGCAGGTTCTGCTTCTCGGACTCGGGGAGAAAAGGAGGGAGGGTTGGAAGACAAAGATTCAGACAGAAACTTAGCCTCTGCATTAGCCTGCAAACTGGACACTGTCTCAAGTCCCTCTTCTGTCCCCTGCTCTTCTTCCTGCTTTCCCTCCTCCTCTTGTTCCTCCTCTTGCTCTTCTTGCTCCTGCTCTTCCTCCTGCTTTTGTTCTTGCATTTGCTCTTTTTTGTGTTGCTCCAGTCTGTGTTCCTGCTTGTGATCAGGCAGTTGCTCTTGGCCTCCCAGGGACAAGGAGGATTGGAGCAGCTCCTCCACGTTGTTGTTCAGCCGCTCAGGCCAGGGCTGGAAGGCCTGCCGTTCTGTGGCTACCACAGGGTTTGGGAGGAACCAAAAAAGAGAAGAGAAAGAGACAGGCTTTTGGCACCTAAGTGTATGTTCACACATAAACACAAGGACAGTAAATGTAGACTAAAATTACATTTACCTACATAGTTAAGTATAAAAAACAAAAAATGAATATCAAAACGAAATATATTTCCATGGCAAATGTTGTGTTGGTGGTATGTGTCATACCTCTCTTACAGTGCTCTTCTTCCCTACCTCCCACCTCAAATGCAACTTTTTTTTCTCTCTCCCTAGGGAACAAAAAATATTCCAAGTAGCTAGAAACTAATGCTTTCTACTGGTGCTGGGAATTGAACACAGAGCCTCATGCATGCTAAGCACATGCTCTACCACTGAGTTACACCCCCAGTCCTAATCCTTTCTAAAATGAAGATGTTAGATTATAAAAGGTCCAGAGAAGTTCCAATGCTGGAAACTAGGAAAAATGGATTCAGGGTAGGACTGTAAATAATGGCAGAAGATATTCTGGGGCAGAAGAGCCATATCTGTATTCATAAATTCCTATTCTCCCTGTTCTACATTCTTCCCCTTCCCTATTACCAGTGACCTACATCCTGGCTCTGGAAGTTGTGGTAGGGTCTCACCTGTGATATGAGATAAAAATGGGGAGGTCATGGTGGTGGGTGCGACTTCTGCTGCAACCTCTACCTCCTTGTAAGTATTAGGTGAGAGAATGGATACTGGCTGGGAACACCGAACTCTCTGCAGGGAGAGAAGGAAAATGGGAAAGCCTTTCCCAAGGGCAGACTTCTGCTCTAGTGAATTGATCAGTCCCTTTCCCAAGATGGCTCATCCCTCATAGATCCTGGGAAAGGATGAAGGAACATGATCTTTGTTGGAACCCTCTAGTCCTGAGAAAGGGTCTCTCTGGAAGATAGTCCTGCCTCACTCTTCTGCTGTTGACTAGAATAAAATCACTGACCTATTAGAAGAAATGGAAGGGCTTGTCTCTGCCTCTTCCCATCCCTCTTCCCTACTTTTCTTGAAGTAACAGGGTTTTTAGACAGTATGAATGTCCAGGTGAGACTATTCATATATAATCTGAGCAAATGACTGGCAAAATGGCAGAGAGGAAGGATCTAAGGAGGATGTGTTGGAGCCCTTCCTCAACTCCCCATTTCCACTCCCTTGGCCCTGGAGTTATCATATCCAACCTTTCTCCTGGGCCTCACCTTGGCATAGTAGACATGGTTGGAGCAGCGATACTGAGTAAACTGGCAGAACGACTCAAACCAGGAGGCATAAGGAAGGTCGGAGCAGACAGCGCCTGAGAAGGGGCAGGAGTGGAGAAGGTGAACACACAGAGGGAAGGCCCTCTGGGGAAGGCCTGGGGAGAGTACAGTAGGAGACTCTGGGTTAGAGGCTGGCCATACCCTCCCGCTATCTCACATGAGCACAGGACTTCTGCCCTGGGCTTGGGTGAATTCTGGGTGTCTTGGTTTCCCCTATCTCACGTGAGTACAGGACTTCTGCCCTGGGCTTGAGTGAATTCTGGGTGCCTTGGTTTCCCCTCACCATCCGGCACCAAGCCGTGGTTTTCATATTGATCCAGCTGGACCAGAGTGGGGTTTCGGCAGCCATGGGTCGCACGAAGACGGCAGGTAGTCTCTGCCTTCCAGGTTGGGGTCAGCAGAGCAAAGAAGCGTTCATATTCGCTGGGGGAGAGAGGACTGCCTGGAGTAGAGGCTGAAGTTGACTCCTGGGCTGGGGCAGGTGCCAGAGGCAGGAGCAGCACTGAGGAGTAGGGTAACATGGTTGGACACACAGCAACCCCGAACCCGCTCCAGACCCAGGCAAATTAGGAACCGGGATGACCCTGCGGGTTCCCACTGAGAAGGATAAGGCAATTCTAGAGACAGGGGAAAGATCGGGAAGGATGTCAGAAGCAAGGGAGCGGACTCAAATCACCATGATAAAGCGTCTCAGAAACCATAAAAAAATGACTCTCAGGCAGTAGAGGGCGAGGGCTGAGCTCAGGGAGGACCACACTATTAGAACAGGTGGGAACCTCTCACCCTTCAGGAGAGAGAGAAGGAGGCCATCAGACAGTTTTGTCATGGCCCCGGAAGATCCGACCGACCGTGTTTCCTGGCCTCTAACCGGCCAAGCCACAGACAGCGGTGGTGGCGCGGGCTGGCGCGCAAGAGTGCAGGTGAGGCCCTACGTCACAAAGGGGGGGCCGCCACGGGGCCCAGGGGCGGAGCCAAGAACCCAAATGGCCAAGTGGCTGGAGGGCATCGCTCAGGTCAGGGCAAATCCAGCAGAATAGCGAAGGCCACCATTCATGTTCTATCTTCGATGAGGCCTGTTGTTCTTGATTACCTCATTTAATCTCCACAGTAATCCCAGAAGGTGGATCTATTATGATCCTTATTTTACATGCAGGGAAATCAGGGTTTAGAGAAGCAATTTGTCCAGATGGTGGAGAGACCTAGATGTGAGCATAGGCAGGGTTCTGTGGCTGGCAGTGATGGAATGTCCAAAACAAAGAGTAGGAGATAGAGGATGCCTCCAGGTAAGATATAGGTCAAAAGGGAAGACAACAGAAGGGTTCACAGGAGGGAGTGCTCCGGTATAAAGATGTCTCTGAAGCTCTAGGAAATGGATGCCAAGAGGGAGATGAGCAACACAATCCATTAAGGTATGGGAGGAAAATATCTGCTCAATGTTTAAAATAAGAAATCAAGCTAATATTTACTATAGTAGTACACATGTATAACACAAATACATCATTTATTGGAAATTAAGTAAAAAGATGTCTTATGGAGAAAAGATGCACAATATACAAAGTTCTGAGTCACACCCTCCAGCCAGTGTTGCGTTCCCCAGATTGAGAAGCTGTAGATGCTGGTGCACAATATTAATTCAGGTTTCTTGTCCTAATTCTGGGATGTTATCCTCCCACCTCTCATCCAACCCAGAGGGTGCAAAAAAGAATGCTTAGCACATGTACTGAAATAGTGTCTCTACAATAAACACAGCAGGCCAACACGTATAGCTTTTATTTACCTATCCAGGCTCCTTTTACATGTGAGTTATCTGCATTCCACCTTGCCCCCTCTCCCATTCAAGGTCAGGATGAATCCCCTTGGCATAGAGGATGGGTGCCCCTTCAATGAGGGCCACAGCCCAAATGATCCAGGGCATCCCCACCATGAAAAAACAGGAAGAGAATGGAGAAGAGAGTTCATACTTAGCTTCCCACAGGGTAGCAGGAGGAGGATTAAGGGAACCAGAGGAGTGCCCTATCCTACTTCCCCAGTCCTCAAATACAAAGCAAGGGAAATCAAGAGGACCCTTCCTCTGAAATACAGCACCAACCTCAGCATGGAGGCAAAAGGACAGTGGGCAAGCTTACTTCCCAACCAGGGGGAGGGCAGAAAGAGAACACATACCGTTAGTGGTTGCGGCACCCCTCCCTACCAGGGTTTGAATGCAGCCTCAGCACCGGGAATGGGGAAGGGGAGGAGAAGGGATGACAATACCGCACCATCCACTTCTCCCTGAACCCCCTGGCCCCAATACAGGCATTCCTCTGCCCACTAGCCCAGATCAGGGGATGTGGAAGAAATTGTGTTGGAATCCAAGGCCCTTATCTATTTCTTCTTCCGTTCTTGGGAGCAGCGTGGGCAAAACCTAGAAAGCAAAAACAAAGAGATGGGTGGGGGAAAGTGAGTGAAGGGGAAAGTACCCTATGCCATCTAGCTTTGCAATAGTCCAGTTAGGCTGTAACTTACCATTTCCCCCGAGGCTTGGTTGTCAGTCCCACACAGGCGAAGTGGAACCACTCAATGGAACACTGGAAAAGGAAGATGCAGTAGTTAGGAGCCTGGGTGGTGGAAAGAAAGCCCTCATAAAGATTCTTTAGGAGTGTACATATATCCCATCCCTTTGGAGACTTTCTGGAAGGCACATGGCCACCCATATCCATTGTTTTTTGTTTTTAAATATTTATTTTTTAGTTGTAGTTGGACACAATATCTTTATTTTATTTATTTATTTTTATGTGGTGCTGAAGTTTGAACCCAGGGCCTCACATGTGCTAGGTGAGCACTCTACCGCTGAGCCACAATCCCAGCCCCTCGTTTTTTGTTTTTGTTTTTGAGACTAGGTCTTACTGTGTTGCCCAGGCAATCTCTGAACTCCTGGGCTCAAGTGATCCTTGTGCTTCAGCCTCCTAAGTAGCTAGGATTACAGATGCATGCCGCCATGTCCTACTTTCAGCCATTGTCCTTCATTCTGAAGTCCCATTCTTCAATCATGGCTCCCCCATTTTAAACCCACTCCTTTCATGTCCCTCAGAACCCCACATCCTGAGGTAAAAGGTTCTCACATCAGGGTTGTCACAGCCAATCATCTCTCCATAGGAGACCTGGTGACAAAGGCAATAGGTGGGTTCGTTGGGATCCACAGGCATATCCAACACATCAGAGGGATGGACACTGCCAAAGGTCACTGAGGGCATCCCATACTCAGGACTTCTGTATGCCAAGAGGAAGAGAAATTGTCATTTGCAGGAAGGGAAGCTAGGACCTAAGGCTCTGAGGCGGTAGAAGGAAATCCTGGTGGGGCTTCTCCTCTCCATCCAGCAGACACCAAAGTGATGAGAAGAGTTATTAACAGAAAATAGGAAAAGTGGCAAAGGGCAGTGCAGTGTAGGGTGAGAGTGGGATGTCAGGAGAGAAGAGGATGTTACTTGGCGAAGAGTATGTCATCTGAAACACTCACGTGCGCACAAGTTTTAACTTCTTCTGGGCAGCCTTGGGTGCTTCTTCATCTGAGTTTTTCCCTTTGGAACGTGCACGGGCAGCTTTCTTCTCCTTTTGAGTCCGGCCTTCTAGGGAAGAGGGGGAAAGCCAGAAGGCAGGGAGATAGAAAGATGGGTTAAGTCCTCTTTCTTCCTCTTCTTTGCAACTTGGTATTCCTCCCTCATAGATGAAGAGCAGATCTCTTCTCCCTCAGAGTCCTCACCCACTCTCACAGCCCCGCCCCCCTCCTCACTCTTTTTGCCTTTGCTAGAAGAGCTGTCATAGTCACTTGACTCGATCTGTTTCTCCTTCAAATCAGCCTCAAAACGGGCCAGGTCTGTGTCCAGTCGCCGAATGTGTTTGTCAACCTGGGAGAGAAGGAAGGAGAAGGGAGAGATATAAGCCTGGTTCTAATTAAAGAAAAACAGGCTAAGGTAAAATCTATGGATCTCCCAGATCCAAAACAGATTCTGACAGCTGAAGGAGGGGTCTAAGACCCCAAAGATTAGATGGGAGGTAGTGGGGAGCCATGAACAGGGCCATACCATCTCATAGGTCTGCATGGCAAGCTGCACCTTGTCGTCACCAAATTCCTTGCACTTGCCATAGGCTTCCTGGATCTGTCTGAGAAGAGCCAATTTTTCCTCGGAGCTCAGGTTGCGGGCGCTACTCATATACTCAGTGGCCAACTTGTCAATTTCAGCCTTCAGGTCTACAACAGAGACAGAGGCCTGGTCACAATGGCTCCTGGGCGGCTAGATGAAACACACTTCTTGCTCTTGTTCCTTGGACTTTTTCCATTGACCATCATGACCTTTGAAATAAAACCTACTGAATGTTCACAGGAACTGTGCCATGTACTCATATCAACACTATTTGTTTTAAAGATGCCTTCAAGGTGTTGACAACATTGCTAGCATAGTTGGAACTTAAATTATTGCGATATATTGGGGGATTCTTTGCATACCACATTAATATGAAGTATACTTTTGTTGATGTTTGTACATGCTTCTTTACAGAGCTTGCTGCTTCTTGATCCATGAATGTCATTCCAAAGACTGCCTTGTTTATTGTCTCATAAGCATCCCTCAGAAGATCTGACAGTAGCAAACTAGGCTAGGTCATCTGTTGCTCTGGCTTTTGGGTCTCACAATTTAAAATTAGGCCCTCTCTCTTCTGCTTGCTTATTGTCCACATATTTTGCTCTCATTTGCAATTTGCTTATATTTTCCATCACTTCGTTCCTGTTTGTCCATCTTAGATATTTCTCCAAACAGTTTGAAAAGGTAGTGATATCCCAGGACACTAACTGAAGATGTATACTCCCTAATGTATGATAGGGCTCAGAAAAAAGTCTGACTTTGTAACACCATACAGCTGTGTTAACACAGGTAACGGGGAAGATCTGCAAACACGCTATGTTTACATTCTACTTCATTCCAGGCCTTTGAAAGCAGCTTTAAAAAAAGCATATAGTTCCATAATCTCCAGCTGGTTTTTGCATGAACTGAAGAGTCAGAACTGTATAAATTAGATTCTCTTCATTTGGCAAGCAGTTCTCACAGGTTGATGTCCAAGATTTTAGATGATGCTCACATTTTCATGAGTAAACTTAGCAAAGCAATTTAAAACACAGCTTCACGTAACCTAACACCAGCTTATTACATCCTTGAGCATGAATACAAAGGATGGAAGGTAAAAGCTATATATCCTTCAATGGGTATGGCGATAGCTCCAATAGACATCTTGGATCTTGAAGAGAACAACTTGATAACTGTAATGTAGCTTCCCTCAGGCTCCAGTAACTGCCTCAATATAGCCAAATATCCTCAATGTCAAGGCTGAAGATGTTATCTATTGCTTCTGTAAGATTGAAGAATACAGTGTAGCATCCTGATGTTAATTGCTTCTTCTCTTTTGTCTTTCACTCTCTTTTTAAGAACTTCTCATACAACAGAGCTCCTATCTACAGACATGAAATGTAATCTAAAACCAATGTAAATTTTGTGAGAATAACATTAACAGGGAAGCAGAAACACTATAGTTATCCTATAAGTATATTGGACACATACAGCAGAAGTGATGCTAGAATCAATTTTGGTTTCTTGAATTCTTCTTGAGGTGTAGATATAAAGAACATAGCATCTCTTGAGTTCTTGAGGCCTTGTCTCAATACTTCATTTGTTATGGAAAAGTGATATAGAAATGAGGATCAATAACCTCTTTTAAGAATTCCAAGAGTTTTAAAAAAACTCATAGTTCTCCAAATCACACCAGATGTCGTGGTAATAGCAAGTAGGAAAATAAATGATTACACACACTCATCATACATAAGAACTGCTTACTCTTTACCTACCCTCTGTTCTTTGGTCAAGGTCCCTCATAAGTTGAAAGTTTCTCTGTAATTCAAATGGGAGGTTTTCAATACCTAGAGAATAGAGAGAAACATAATTACTGGACTATGCACAGATCTTGGCAAGAGCTCTACCACTGAGCCACACCCCTAGCCCCCATATTTACAATTTGTGTGTGTTTATGTTTACATGTATGGGGATAGGGATGGAATCCTGTGTTTTGGACATACTAAGTATGTAATTCTTACCACTATGCCACAACCTCAGCCCTTTATATATAATTACCACTATGCCACAACCTCAGCCCTTTATATACATCTTTTTAAAGTGCAATTCCATCTTCCCTAATTTGAACCTCTGGATTTGTGACAGCATTCATAGTTCCTTTCTTTCAAGAGTCATATTCACTTCTCTCTCCTCCCAACTATTTCTCCACCTCTGCACAACTATCCCACGCTTCTCTTCAG